TAAACTGACCATGCCTGACAGGAACTACTTAGGCAGATCTTTGTCAAAACCTCTCATTGTTAGAGGCTTCAGCTGCTCCAGTTTGAACCAGAACAGTTTTTTGTGTCCACACTTGCTATGCAGATTTGTGTTCTGAACCATCGACTTACCCCTATGTCAACAGTGGTGCTCTCAAACTATTTCAGTTGCAGTTTCCTCTGGTTCAAAGCAGCTCTTAGAAACTGTCAATTTTGGAAGATTTGAAAAGACCACTAGTGCACTCTGGGACATTAGGGCAAGTCATCCTATGTTGACAATACAACAGTTCAGACTCCTTGTACTCAGTTGGCGAAGGCAAATTTAAGCCAAACAGTATCTAGACCGGGGTTCTCAAACTGGGGGTTGGGACCCCTCAGGGGGTCGCGAGGTTATTACATGGGGGGCCACGAGCTGTCAGCCTCCACCCCAAACTCCACTTTGCCTCCAGCATTTATAGTGGTGTTAAATATATAAAGTGTTTTTAATTTACAAGGGTGGGGGGTTGCATCCGGAGGCGTGCTATGTGAAAAGGGTCACCAGTACAAAAGTTTGAGAACCACTGATCTAGATCATGTGTTGGAGCACTTGACAGTAGCAGGGTGCTACTAGGGGGAACCAAACCATTCTTAGAGTACTACATCTTATGTAGACTGTACCTATAAATGGCTTGGAGCCAGGCACTCAACAGATTAGCCTGAAAAAATAAGAATGGGGACCTTAAAACATATCTCCTACAACTCATTCATGTCCTGCAGGCAGCAAATGCGTTCAGGGAAAAACAAATTTATTTGTCTGGCTTTAAAATAAACTGTCTTCTGACCTATTGCAGAAGTGAAATGGTCCGGCTTCCATATGGGTTGGCTTTATGGGGCACTGAGCCCCTGGGTGTTTTGCTGCATAATGGCTGATAACCTTTTTATCCTTCCATTTCTAAAAGGACATGGTAAGGCAAGGTGACTAATACTCCTTCCTTGCTATTCTACAAAATGAGGCAGGGAAAGTGCTAGGGTTTACCAATTTGGTAATATTTAAAAACCCAGATGTTCCAGCAGGAGTGCTGGAACCTCCCCTGCCCTGCTTCTCTCCCTGAGGCCCCACCCCCATCCACTCCTCTTACACCCCTCCCCACTGTGGTTTGCTGCTTTCTCTCCCCTCCTCCCCACACAGGTCAGGAGGGACTTCCCTACAGAGATGGGGCTGGGAGCTGGAGCTGCAGCTGCCCAGTGAAGGTAGGAGGAGACTCTGGCTGAGTAGGGGCTGGAGTAAGTGATGACCTGTGGTCTCCCCTGCTCACAGCATCTGGATTTTGGGTGTTCGGTCAGTAGATCTGACAGGACACTGTCAAGTCCCCTCTTCAACTCTCTAGTGCATTGTGGGTAAAAGTCAAGAACATCTGGAAGAGCATCTGCTACAAAACTGCTACAGTGTTTGAGTGTTGCGTTCTTTCCTGGGGATGATCTATTCAGAATCCTACTTTTCAAAGGATAATCTTGTGGCTAAGTAGCTGGGTTAAAGTTCCAGCTCTGCCACAAACTTCCTGTGGTGTGACCTTGGGTAAGTCACTTAACCTCTCTGGCACAGTTTTCCAAGGTCTACAAGTGGGAACACTTCTGTTATATCTAATTAGATTGTAAACTCTGAGGCCAGGGACTCTCAGTGATAGTCTGTACCACAGCAGGGGCCCAAATTTGGTTAGGCTGAGGCCCTGAGATGTTACTGAACTACAAATGATTACTACAGCTGGCTAATAACATTTGTCTGACTTGCCTGCAGGAACTTTTGCCTCAATGTATAGGCATCTGTAACCTCTGATCCCAGCAAAAAGCTACTGCAGGAATGTGCTATTCCTGTTTGTCCTGGCATAGAGTATTTCCATGATCTGCTTGCTGAGCCTAAGTTGACCCAAAAAAAAAACCCAACAACCTAGGCTAAGCAGAAGGAAACTTGCTTTTGTATGTGTCTCTTTAAAAAAATAGAAACACAGAACCTCATGCCTGAGGAAGCCTTAAAGTGTGTGTGGGGGGGGGGGGGGAGCTCTCTGGACAGGGAGGGAAGAATACTGAATTGTTCTGCAAACTAATCTGGCCTCTTTCTGTTGCTTCTTGGTGTGCAGTGTGGGGAGAAGTTCTGAAGATTAATCTGTTTTTTGAGTGGGAAAGCTTGGGCTTTGTCCTTTCAAAGAATGTCTGAGATTAGGACCATAGGAATCCAGCATGTACAGCCCACTGCTTTACCAGCTGAGTTGGCGATTCAGCGGCTTAGCAAATTGGCACATGCTACAACTAAAATGGTGCTTGGTGCTGAAACGTTACATGGAAATGGGAAAGTGTCCTGGAAAGGAGGAGGAAAAACTAGCTTTACTACTTCCTTTGCTGCTGCAGGGTGTATGGTACAGGCCTGAGTCTTGACTTAACTACAATTTGTGGCTTTTCTGTAAAACATCTGGAGGGTGAAGTTTGTCCTCTCCTGTTCTGTTGATGCTCTGACTCAAAATATTCTTGGAGCACTCTTAGCCCTTAATTAAAGGATTTGGGGGTGGTTGAATCTAATAGATCATTCCTCCAAATGGTCAGTTAAATAGATGTAACCAGTTCTAGGACTATAAAATCACATCCTCACCCCTTGCTTCCACTCCAATGGTACTTGCGGTGATAGAAACCTGCCAGACTTCCAGTTAGCAATTGTCTTCCAGGGTAGACAGCAAGGTCTGAATTTGTAACAGTGAGGGGGAGGGCAATTCAAATAATATGAAGGTTTTCTTAAGTTGTGAAGAAGCAGAGGGGCCCAAACAGCCCGTTCCTCTCTGTTACCTTTAGCACCCAAAGCACATTTCATCAGCCTGCTATCTAAAACATGATGGAACTAGCTGAATCTGGGAGCTCAGTGCAGGGTGTTCTGAAAGCAAGCTTAAATTGAGGTGCTATAATACTTCCTGCATCTCTTGGCTGGCCACCTGTTCCTGGCTCTAATGCTCAAATTGATGCACCTTTAAATTTGTGTATGAATCTTGTTATAAGACTTCAAACTCTCATCTTCATGGAGACACTAATCTCTGCAGAACTAAGGGAAGTTGTTGCCAAAACAAAACTACCTGAAATCAGTTGCATCCCAGTCCTCATGTACAATATTTATGGAAGTGGGGGGTCAAAGTCTTTTTGGAAAGACTTGTATAATTGGCTCTCCATATTTCCATACAGCTTGGCCTATAAACTTCAATCTCATCCTAGAGCAGAGCCCACTGCCTCTGACTTGAAAGGTGGTGGCTGTAGAATTACATATGAACTCTACTTTTCATGTAGACTGGAACCATATTTTGCAGTGGTGCAGTTAAGTGCTAATTAGGATTTGAATGGTGGGATGGGCAGTGTGCTCAATGCTGTGACCACACTGCAGTTGTATTCCCTGCTTGACAATTTAGCTGTGTTGTGTAGACATAGCCTTTTAGTAACATGGCTGTGTTGCTACAGCTGTGCCACGAAGTCATGCTGCATAGCGGCTGTTTGTTTGACTCTTGTGCTGACAAACTTCCACTGCCCCCCAGCGAGCGGCATTTGCGTTGTTGGCAGGAGAGTGCTCCTGCTGACAACACGCTGTTCACACTGGTGCTTGTTGTGGCAAAACTTTTGGGGGGGGGGGGGGACATCTGAGAGACAAGCTTGTCGTTCAATTGCCAGTGTAGACATAGCCTCAGAAAGGCAAAAAAAACCTCTGAAAAGGGCAGGCGAAAAGATACAAGCAGAATGGTGGGAAGCACATATCAGGTTAGTTACCAGACTTAAATCTCTTAAAAAAAATTTATTTGGAGCTGGGGTTGGAGAAGGACTTGTTTGAGTAAGCAGTGGGGGAAATGGCTCAATGGATGGGAAGTGTGATGCTGAGCAGCTGAAGGGGGTGCTTTTGTGGTATGAGAAGGGTGGCAGGAAGAAGAAACTGACTTCTGTACTCCATACTTATTGTACCTTATGGTAAATGGTACAGGTAGTGTGTGTTATCCAAATGAAGGATGCTCACAAATGAGCTGAAGACTCTAAACTGAAATTTTAAGGAAAAGTCATGACCAAAAGGACTGCAGGTTGGAAAGATGGGGAAGTGTCCTAGTATGGGGCAGAGTTAGTTATCTGACTTCCAAACCCCCAAACATCTGCATTTTAAATAGATCCTTAACTTTGGATCTCCCAGTCTTCCAAAGTCCAATTTAATAATTAAACTACCCCATTTTTTTAAAAAGTGAGCTCTAAAAGTACAACTGGGGTTGTGCCTTAATTTACATGCTGATAACTTGCAAAGACCCTTGATGTTCAGTTTTTTCAGCTTGTTTTTGATTTAAAGTCTTGTCTGTGTTTGCAGACTCTACAGTGACCAGAAAACTAGTAAGTTGACATCCTAAGACTAGAAACCGAGCAATGGTGGAAGGTGCTTCTAATTACTTGATCTTTTAAAGATGTAGTTACAAAAACTTACTGGTGGTTGAATATTGAAAGAAACAATGTCTCTAAGCTTCAACTCCCCTGACTTTAAAAGTGCAAGACCTTAACAAACATCTATGGTGCTGGTGTGTGCCTCTGTCCCTGCCCCAAGACCCCCAACAAAATCTAGGAAGAACAGACTTTGTTCCTGATAAACAAGCTGGGAAAACTTGAAAACAGCTTTTTATTTTATAGATACAAGGCAGAAACCAGGCTTCTGAAAACCCTTTACAGGTACCTTAAAGGACTCTTCAAAAGGCTACTGATTATGTCTGTTTAAACTTAACTCCAAGTTCAAAAGCTTCTTCCTATGTGTTTAGAGTGGGGGAAGACTTGTGGTTCTTTTGCATCCCTTCAGCTAAAGCATACAGTTAAATATGACCATGACACATCAGATTCAAATCTTGAGACATTTTCAAGGTATTAAGAATTTCTGGTTGTGCACTGTCTTTATCAATTTTAGATTACTGGCAAGACAAGATTAATCTTGACTTCTGACTTTAACTTGTGTTTCAGGTGAGGGCTGTGTCTGTGGATCTAAATATTGATCCTTCCCTCCAAATTGACATCCCAGATGCCCTGAGTGAAAAAGACAAAGTAAAGTTCACTGTACATACTAAGGTAAGTTCATGGTGAAAGGGGAAAGTGGTTAATGTACACACATGCAGTCTTAAAATCCACTTGAATGAGGCAAGTAGGACCCTTGTACTGTTGTCAAATGGGTCTACACCATTAACTCCTAGATCTTAGGCTTTCATTTAAAAAAAAAAACAAAACCAAAACTGCAGGGCTTAAACATAACAGCCATACTGGATCAGACCAAATAGGATACTGTGCTGGATGGACTATCTTTCAGTGGTGGCCAGTGCCAGGTGCTTCAGAGTGAACAAACGGAACAAGGCAATTGCGTGATCCATGCCCTGTTGTCCACTCCCAGCTTCTGGCAGTCAGAGACTTAGGGGCAGTCAGAGCATGGGGCTGCATCCCTGACCATCTTGGTGAATAGCCATTGATGGACCTATCCTCTATGAACTTATCTAAGTCTTTTTTGGACCTGGTTATACTTTTGGCCTTCACAACGTCCCCTGGAAACTAGTTCTCCAGGTTGACTGTGCATTATGTGAAGGAGCACTTCCTTTTGTTTGTTTTTTAAATGTGCTGCCTATTAATTTCATTAGGTGACCTCTTACATGAAGGGGTAAATAACACTTTCTCCACACCAGTCATGATTTTGTAGACCTCTATCCTGTCTCCCCTTAGTCATCTCTTTTCCGAACTGAAAAGTCCCAGTTTTATTACTCTTTCCTTGTATGGAGGCTTTTCTATATCCTTAATCATTTTTGTTGCCCTTCTCTGTACCTCTTCCAATTCTAATACATCTCTTTGGAAATCGGGCAACCAGAACTGCATGCAGTATTTGGGCATGCCATGGGTTTATACAGTGGCATTATAATTTTTCTGATCATTATCTGTCCCTTTCCATATGGTTCCTATCATTCTGTTAGTTCTTTTGACTGCTGCCGCACGCTGAGCAGATGTTTGTAGAGAACTATCTACAATGACTCCAAGGTCCTTTTCTGAGTGGAAACAGATAATTTAGACCCCATCATTGTGTATGTATAGTTGGGATTATGTTCTCCAGTGTACATTACTTTGCATTTATTAACATTGAATTTCTTCAATTTTGTTGCCTAGTTACAGGTTTGAGATTCCTTTAACTCTTTGCAGTCTGCTGTGGACTTAACTATCTTGAGTAGTTGTCATCTGTAAATTTTTGCCATCGCATTGTTTCCTACTGTTTTCAGATCATTTATGAATACTGTAAATAACATTGGTCCCAGTACAGATCCATGGGGATCCAGCTATTTACCCATCTCTGTACTGAAATCTGACCATTTATTCCTACCCATTGTTTCCTATCTTTCAGCCTGTTACTGATCCATGAGAAGACCTTCCCCTCTTATTCCATAACTGCTTACTTTGCTTAAGAGTCTTTGGTTTGGAACCTTGTCAAAGGCTTTCTGAAAGTCCAAGTACATTGCATCTACTGGATCCCCCTTGTCCACATGTTTGGTTACTCTCTCCTTCCTCTCCTCTCCTCTCCTCTTCTTCTCCCCCCCCCTGGAATTCTAGTAGATTGGTGGGGCATTTCCCTTTACAAAAGCCATGTTTCAGAGTAACAGCCGTGTTAGTCTGTATTCGCAAAAAGAAAAGGCGTACTTGTGGGACCTTAGAGACTAACCAATTTATTTGAGCATGAGCTTTCGTGAGCTGTAGCTCACGAAAGCTCATGCTCAAATAAATTGGTTAGTCTCTAAGGTGCCACAAGTACTCCTTTTCTAAAAGCCATGTTGACTCTCTCAAGTTGTGTTCATGTGTGTCTGATTCTTCTTTACTATTCAACCAGTTTGCCTGGTACTGAAATTTATGCTTACTGGCTGTAACTGCCAGGATTGCCTCTGGAGCCTTTATATTTTAAAAAAAAAGTGTGACTATCCTCCAGTCATCTGTTACAGAAGCTTATTTAATCAATAGGTTATATACCACAGTTGTTAGTTCTATAATTTCATATTTGAGTTTCTTCAGAACTTTTGGGTGAATCCCATCTGGTCCTGGTGACTTATTACTGTTTAATTTATCCAAAACCATCTCTAGTGACACCTCAGTCTTAGATGGTTCCTCACATTTGTCATGTAAAAAGAATGGCTCAGGTGTGGGAATCTCCCTCACATCCTCTGCAGAGACAAGTGAGTCAAAATTCACTTAACTTCTCTACAATGGCCTTATTTTCCTTTAGCACCTCGATTGTCCAGTGGGCCCACTGATTGTTTGGCAGGCTTCCTGCTTCTGATGTACTTACATTTTTTTGCTGGGTTTTTTAATGTGCCTCTTTTGCTAATTGCTCTTCAAATTCTCTTTTGTCCTGCCTATTTATACTTTTTACACCTTAGGAAGGGGAAGAGAACTGTCGAAATGGAAACCAAGTAACTGATGCAGGGTGGTGGTTGTTGTGGTCTTCTGTCTTCAGACAGATCAATACTGCCACTCTTAGCTTTGCTAAGCAGTAGTGGATGGAAATTAACCTCCCCATGCCTCTGTTTTTTATCTGTAAAATGGGGATAATAACTGCCTCATTTTTGTAAAGTTTTCAATCTCTGCTGAAAGCACTATGTAAGAACTAGGTATCATTAATTCTGGTCCTCTAAAGTGGTATGGGACACTCGAATATCCTGTTCCTACAATGATCCTGTCACTGCTAAGGGGGAGATACAAAGAAGGCTCACCTTAACTGAGTGCTAGCCAACACTAGAAAAGGCAATTAGGTGTGGCGTTTACTAGTCAAAAGGGCTTGCTATGGAAACTAATGAACAAAACTGCTTCTAAAAGCACTAGCTTTTGAAACACTAGGACTTCTGAATCTCTTGTCTTCCAGACTACACTGCCAACTTTTCAAAGCCCAGAGTTTTCAGTTACGAGGCAGCATGAAGACTTTGTGTGGCTACATGATACACTTGCTGAAACTGAAGAGTATGCAGGATTTATTGTAAGTGGTTTTTGTTTAGGATTGAATTTTATAATGGGAAAATCTAATGTGGTGCACCTAAAAGGAAATTAGTAAGGCTGCTAACCCTGCTAAAGTAAATACCGCTAGCATTTTCTGTCTTGGATCTTAACTATGCAGATTCAATGTGGTTGTAACATAGCTTTGATTTTATCTTCCCTGAACTGTCTGAAAACATGGGGCCCTGCCCTCCACTCTTGTAAGCTCACAGTATGGGAATCCTGCAGGTACTGCAGAGTGTATTTGTCCCATGTTGGTATCATTCCTTACCCTGTAGAAACCCTTCTAGAGAGCCATTGGTTGCCCTGCTTCAAGGACTTTTGAGAACGTGACACCGCAGTGTAGAGTCCGAGGGTAGCAGCTGGTGGAGAACCTCCGTTAGTACAGCTTCTCCAGGAGTTCTGCAGATGATGGGGTAAACGGGCCAAGAGGCAATACGGAAATACAGGCCCATGTCTCCCCATCCTGTGACACAGGATTTGTGAGCACTCTGGATGAGCCCCATTGCATCCACAAACTGCACTACACACAACCTGGGTAAAAAGAGCAGCAGTACATTAGTTTACAAGGTAGCTATGGAGACTCCAGGAACTTTCACTCAAGAGTGATAGGCACTTGCAACTAATACAGTCTATTTTATATTGACTAGATACCTCCAGCACCTTCCAAGCCTGATTTTGATGGTCCCAGAGAGAAGATGCAGAAACTTGGGGAAGGAGAAGTCTCTATGACAAAAGAGGAATTTGCAAAAATGAAGCAAGAACTAGAAGCGTAAGTATGTGTAGTTGTGTATATAAACCAAAGTCAGTTCTGCATCTTGATGGAGGATCTACTTTCATAGTAACACCTCAAGCCAGAACCTTATTTTAAATAGGGTTGGTGCAATTTCACCTTAACGCCTTTAATCCATGTCTCTGTGTTTCTAGAAAGTCTTGGACTTGGTTAGATAAACCATATAAATGCATAACAACCTTAGTACCTTTCCCAGCCCTGAAGAAGAGCTCTGTGTAGCTCGAAAGCTTGTCTCTCACCAACAGAAAATGGTCCAATAAAAAGATTATACCACCCAGCTTGTGTGTCTAACCTTCATAAAACGTCTTTTGGCCATCACTGTGTGAATTCTAAAATATACTGGAAACGGCCAGGTGGAGACAGGAATGCTTGTTCAGAAGCACTAGGCCAAAACATGAAGCATTAAATAAAATTATTTTTGTCAGAGCAACACTTTATGCAGTGAAGTAGACAGTAAAGACTACACATTGTCTTCGGTGCTTAACTTTGAGATTTGATTCCCCTCCTTGGTCTTCCAGTGAATACCTTGCTGTCTTTAAGAAGACCGTGTCATCACATGAAGTTTTCCTTCAGCGACTTTCTTCTCATCCTGTGCTCAACAAAGATCGCAACTTCCAAGTTTTCCTAGAGTATGACCAGGATGTAAGGAATCTTCCTCCATTTCCTCTGCACTTCTGGGACAGGATGTTAAGAATGCAGTCAGTTCCTATGAACTCATTTAGAATTTGCTGCACTTGTAACACAAGTGATCATTTAAACACACAATCCTACATAGTGTTTATACTGTTATCCGTGTAGGATTGCTCAACCAACTTCTCAAGAATAGCATAGGGCCAAAATCCATTTCACTCAAAGCTTTTTTTCAGTATTCATTACAGAAATCTCATTGCCTCAAAATATAAGCTGTGACATACAAACCAGGCTTGATTGACTTAAACACTGACTTTAAATCAGGACTTAAATCAGCAAATGGGAAACATTGATTTAAATCTTGTTTTGCGTGTGTATCTTTCAGTTATCTTCCAAAAGAGGCTGATTCTTATGGGTGGTATAATTTGGTACTACTTTTTGCTAGCTGGGAGGATGCACTAGATCATGATTTGTGTCAAACTACATTTAGATGGAAATTTGGAATTTGATTTAAAATGCATAAACAGCATTTAAAAAAGCTTTAAATAAAAGCCTTAAATGTTCTGAATATGTAAGAAGTAAGCAAGTCTTAAATTTAAGAACATTTTGATAAACTTATTCAAGCAAGCATTCCCTGTAGTTAGGGAATTGACTTGACTTTCTGGTTGTCATGTCCTTAAAGATTTTAGAACTTGTAGATCTTGTTCCCATGCTCAGGTGTGGTTTTTTTTATAGATTGGGAGGTGGGGGAAACAAGCTTTCAACCCCCACTTGTATTCTACACTTTGAATAAACTAGTAATTGAATCAAACTGGTTGAATACACACAAATGAAGAAAATAATCTCTTGCACCTGTAGGAGAGGCTACTGTTAAGCTGGTTTAGTCCTTTAACAAACTTTGATTCCAGGTGCTTAGCCAGTGACTTCCTTTGAGACTTCAGCAGCAAACATACTTCTCAAATATTCTTGGTTTTAAGCATTACAGTAATTACAGGTCTTAACATAGGTTATCATAATTCAGAACTAATTTTAAATAGGATTATTTTTAAAGAAAAATGTACTTTAAATTTAAAAAAATATTTTTATCTACCCTGATAAAATTCAGCTTCAGAAAAGCCTGTGCACCTCAAACCCTATGTCTTTCTCCAGCTGTAGGGGCTCCTGTGTAACATGCCCATTACACAGCATCTCTGCTTTGTATATTCCCTCTTTATTTGGAGGGATTTAAATACAAGCTATTGAAGTAAGGTGCATTTTGAATGCACCTGCAGCTATGGAAAAGACTGCTATAACACCTTGTTCATAAACGAATTCAGCACAAAGACCAATTTAACTCCCATGTTTCTAGCAATAGTCTCCATTACAAGAAGACCTCTCTGGTGCTACAACTTGAAAACAGAAATTCTAGAGGAAACTTGCAATTCAATCACTTTAAAATATACTTAGAACTTAGTGCAGTACAAACATCACTTTGTATGGTGCAGTGACCACAGCAATACAATATTGAACTTGAAGCTTGTCAATGAACTACTTATTACTTCCCTAAAACAATCTCTTATCGTGTTGTGTTTTAGCTAAGCGTTCGGAGAAAAAATACAAAAGAAATGTTTGGTGGCTTTTTAAAAAGTATGGTGAAGAGTGCTGATGAAGTCCTCTTCTCTGGTGTGAAGGTAAGATTTGCTCCCCTTCCAACAACCATCTGATACCTTTTCACTCTTGCTTTCTACTATGTAGGATTGCTTTATTCCTGGTGCTAGGAGAAACCTACTTTGTCAAGAGTATACTCAATAACTTACCTACCTCGTATTTGCTATCCAGTCTGAAGGATCAGTTAAGCCAATCCATTGCAGAGTTGAGAGCCCTTGATTGTGTCTGAATAGGTAAAACCTGCCTGCATAGAGGAAGTACGTGACTGGCAAGGTGGGGATGAAAGCAACAAATCCCTGGGCTCCAAGGATATAAATACTGCAACTGGGCATCTAAGGAGTCAGGGTTTTTGTTTTGTTTTTCCCCCTCAAAATATCTAAAGTTTCAGTACACAGTGAAGAGTCACCTAGTAATACCCTGCTAAAGAAACTGCTCTATGAGTAGTTAACTCTTGGGCAGAAATGTGGTGGTGGTCTGCTGAAACTTCTGCATATCTAATAGTACTGGAATACCTCCAATCAGCTCCAGAAACCGGTACACCCCACTGAAGGGCTGTTGGGAATCGTTTCAGCAAAACATACAAGACAGCCTGTTGTGGTACCAGGGACTGTGCACTGGTATGAACTCCTTTCCTCTCTGATTCAACCCATTCATGCTGTAGGAAGTGCTAGTACTTTGAGAAGGGTAATCTCCTCTTTCCCCAGATTTAGGAACACCAGCAAGTATTACACTGTAACTCAACTCAATCTCTAGTTACAGCCCAGTTTCTAAACTCCAGAGAAAGCTAGTAGAGAATTTTCCAAGGGCTGCCTTCAATTTGCCATAAACTACTACCAGTATGCCAGATAATCTCATCACCAGTCTGGTCTCAGACCAGGAACAAATGATGTTGGTGGCACTGATTTTCCTCCTCCTTTTGGCCTTGTCCAAAGGCCATTCAGCAGCACTCAAATTGCTGGACTTCTCCACAACATTAAATATAGACTGCCATGGAATCATAATGTCCTACCTCAAACACAGCAAGGGTTAGTGGGATGATTGGGATAGCTTCACTGATTCTCCTGTGTGTGCAGCCAGACTTGTGGTGGTCACCTGCTCCTCTCCAAGTGCTGACTCTGAGCAGTTGCAATCTCACACACACACACACACACACACACACACACACACACACACACACAGATAATAAATAGTGGCCTACAATGGCAGCAAGATGGAGGGCACCAGTTGGATCCTCTTTATATCACAAGCACGTAGCACCTCCCAGCTATCCAAGGATTTGGCTGAGATTTGAACCAGCATAAAGAACTGCCAGCTGAAGATGTGTCCTGGGAAGGACACCATGGTGCTGTTTAGCAGGTTCTTTGGAAGTGCTCCCCTCTTGCTCACTGTAATAAGCTCCACTGAAGGGATCTGCTCTGCTCTTTCTGATTAAGATGGTCTGAAATCTGTTCTCCTGGACTCACTGCTTCTGACTAAACAAAGTTGACCTGGTCTTCCATGGGTAAATTAGTTTCCAGTCTTCGTTTGCAAAACTCTACATGGGCATGATGGCTGGTACCTGAAGGACAGCCTTGCCCTGCCACGCCACAACACAACCTCTCATGATAGCTGCTTTCCATTAAAACAGTGGTCACCAATCCATTGATTGCAATTGACTGGTCAATCCTGGGGACTCTCCCAGTTGATCATGAGCTCTGGCCATGGCAGTGCAGTGGGGCTGCTGCTAAGGCAGACTCCCTGCCTGCCGTGGCCCCATGCTGCTCCTAGAAGCAGCCAGCACAGGCCCTGGTGGGTGAGGTAGGGAAGCAGGGGTCTCCACATGCTGCTCCTGCCTGCAAGTGCCGCTCCTGCAGCTCCCACTGGCTAGTTTCCCATTCCCAGCCAATGGGAGCTCTGGGGGAGGTGTCTGCAGAAAGTGGCAGGGCCAGGGGCCCTTTAGCCCCTTCCAGGAGCAGCGTGGGGTAGGCAGGGAGCGACCCAAAGTGCCACCCAGGGGGAGTAGCACCCCAGCCCTGTGCCCCCTCCCAGAGCCTGCGCCCCCTCCTGCACCAACACGCTCAGCCCAGAGCCCCCTCCCACACTGCAAACCCCCCAGCCCAGAGCCTGCACCCCTTCATGAACCCCAGCCCAGTGAGTGAGGGTGGGGGAGAGCAAACAATGGAGAGGGGGGTCCCTCATCACTTCTGCATAAAAAGGAAACTTCTTTTTTAAGCAGCTTTGGCTGTTTCATTGTGTATACTATGAAGGGGAGGCTAGAAATGTGTAGCCACACTTAATGACAAGATTCACTACATAGGGGCTAAGGTTTAAAGTCTCTTACCGAACTCATTGGTAAATGAAGGAGATGCTCCTGCTCTAGCCATGCCATTGGTCTAACAGATCATATTCTCTTTTCAGGAGGTGGATGACTTCTTTGAGCAAGAGAAGATTTTTCTTGTAAACTACTACAACAGAATCAAGGATGCATGCACAAAAGCAGATAAGATGACAAGATCCCATAAAAGTGAACTTTATTTATACAAACCTTTTCTAGGTAATCTCCGTGTATGTCACTAGAGACAAAACTGAAAGCATTGTCCTTGTTCCTGCAGATGTGGCAGATGACTATATCCACACTTCAGCTTGCTTGAACAGCCTGGCTTTAGAAGAGCCCACAGTCACTAAAAAGTAAGCAAACCCACTAATTCCATGAATACCTGATCTTGGACTTCTGTGTGCAGCACTCTAATTGTAATTGTTACACAATAAACTGAATCCTGGCTTTGTCTGAGGTCCCCTCCTTGGTAATTAATATCTCTAGTGTTTTTATTTCTGTTTTTTTAATGGTGCTATCAATATGGCACACTTAACTTTTTTTTTTTTCAGCTGCATATCCAGTTCCACTTAATGTTTTTAAATAGAATCCTAGTTGAATCCAGCAGATTTGGACTCTTGGTGCATAGGATGTCTTACCAAGTTTTAGTCTTCTAGAATCATAGAACTGGAAGGGACTTCGAGAGGTCATCTAGGCCAGTCCCCTGCACTCAAGGCAGGACTAAGTATTATCTAGACCATCCCCGATAGGTGTTTGTCCATCCTGCTCTTAAAAATCCCCAATGATGGCGATTCTACCACCTCCCTAGGCAATCTATTCCAGTGCTTAACTACTCTGACAAGAAGTTTTTTTTCCTAATGTCCAACCTACACCACCCTTGCTGCAATTTAAGCCCATTGCTTCTTGTCCTATCCTTGGAGATTAAGAACAATTTTTCTCCCTCCTCCTTGTAACAACTTTTTATGTACTCAAACTGTCCCCTGTCTTCTCTTCTACAGATTAAACCCAGTTTTTTCAGTCTTCCCTCATCGGTCATGTTTTCTAGACCTTTAATTGTTTTTGTTGCTCTTTTCTGGACTTTCTCCAATTTGTCTACATCTTTCCTGAAATGCAGTGCCCAGAACTGGACACAATACTCCAGTTGCAGCCTAATCAGCAGAGTAGAGCGGAAGAATTACTTGTGTCTTGCTTACAGTACTCCTGCTAATACATGCCAGAATGATGTTTGTGTGTGGTGGGTTTTTTCTTTTCAACAGTGTTGACTCATACCTTGTGATCCACTATGACCCCCAGATCCCTTTCTGCAGTACTCCTTCCTACGCAGTCATTTCCCCTTTTGTATCTATTATACAAAATGTTATAGAAGCCCTGTCTAACATAACTAAGTTTGTACCCTGTGCATGACAAGCTTGCCTGTAAATGTGGCATGTGTCCACACATGGCCAATACTCATGGTGGCAACTCACTATGTATGTCCTTTGCCTGGAGCCTGTAGTCTGACACATGACTGTCTTCTGGTGATGTCAGAATTTTTAGTGTAGAAGGGACCCCGACTACATGTAAACAGGTTGGCCAGTCTTCCTTCTTCCTAGCTCCTGAGTACATCGCACTAGAGTACATTGCCCTTAAGACCTCTAGAGGAGCAGCCACAATGTGAGACTTCCTATATGCTGTTAAGGTGCCTGGGATAGCTATCAGTATCTTCCCAGAATACACAGATACCATTCATTGGGCGTTTGTGGGTTTGGACAAACACTGACTGACTTATAATTATGTCTATACCGAGGCTCTTTTCTCAATGCAAGTCAGCGATTTGTTAATTTATCAGGCCAGCTTTTACTGGGAGAGAACAGTTATGTTTACGAGGCCTGAAGGACTTGCGTAAGTAAGTGTGGCGCAATGCAAAATATCCACGTCAAAGTGGTGTTCTGTAAGCATTGTTAAACTCTTCTTTGTGGCTCTAGAGCATAAAGACAAGCCCATTGGAACAAAGCTTACAAGTTGGGTAGATTCTCATAAGTAGGTTAAAGCTAAAAGCTCCTTGCCATATTATCACACTGTCTTCATTATCAGTCCTGATGCATTTTCTTACCTGTACTTGAATTTCCTCATTCAAACAAGGACTTGTCTAAACCTGCACCTATACCAGTATACAAACTTGTGTAGGTTTCTGCTCTAATGGTAACTAATCTTGTGTTCTTAAGTGCTACATTACAGATTTCCATGAAGTATAAATAAAATGATTTTGTCCTTTGTGCTTTTTTCTTTTCTGTTTAGGTACTTGTTGAAAGTTGCTGAGCTCTTTGAAAAACTGAGGGTAAGAGCTTCTTTGAAGAGCTGTAAATCTAGGTTTTGTTGTCTCTTGTTACATCATTCCTATCTACTCCTTTCTTCTGTAGAAGGTAGAGAGTCGTGTGTCATCAGACGAAGACTTAAAGCTGTCTGAACTGTTAAGATACTACATGCTCAACATAGAAGCAGCAAAGGTGAGCCACTTCTGCTAAAGCTCGTCCTGTATTATTCACTGAGCTTAGTAACTTAATTATTAACTTGCTATTTAGCACATGAGCTTGTGCATACATTTTTCCAAAAAAACCCCACAACAAGGAATACAGCCTGAGTCTCTCTCCCATGTCCCCACCCTTGTGCCTGGAAAAATAGACATGCTGTGCATGTTTTCTGGGCTTTAATCCAGAGGAATGGAGTAGGGAAGTTCAGAGCAAAGTGAGGGGACCCTTGACAAGCCGCCACTCCTCCCTCCAAAACCAAGGGGCTGCTAGCTGACAGCTTACATAGTTTAGCAATTGCAGTCAGATGGGGAGACTCTCAAGAAGTCTCAGAGGAACAGCCGTGTTAGTCTGTATTCGCAAAAAGAAAAGGAGTACTTGTGGCACCTTAGAGACTAACCAATTTATTTGAGCATGAGCTTTCGTGAGCTACAGCTCACTTCATCAGATGTTTACCGTGGAAACTGCAGCAGACTTTATATACACACAGAGAATATGAAACAATACCTCCTCCCACCCCACTCTCCTGCTGGTAAATATAGCTCAAGAAGTCAAAACTCTCCCTTTTTTTTTTAACCACTTAATGTAAGAGAACAGATCTTCAAGGTAGGAGGTCAAGTCTACCAGCCATTTTAGTTTGTCTCCAAAAAAAAAATCCTTCAGGTTTCCTTTTGGATTGTGTTTTGCAACATTTTTTTAAAAATCTTAGTTTGTAAGATGAGCAGACCATAAGCAGCTGTACCAACTTGAGTCTTGTTTTTTGCCTTTAATTGCAACAATCTCAGGTTGGATATTCAGTGTGCTTTCATGACAAAAGGCTGTTACAATCTTCCCCTAAGCTTTTGACTGACACATGGTGGGACTGGATGACAGGATGGATCATTCGATTGCCATCCATTCCCTTGGAAGCATTTGGCATTGGCCACTGTCAGAAGACAGGATACTGGGCTCGACGGACCATTAGTCTGACTCAGTATGACTGTTTTTATGCTCTAAGTCCCCTGAGGGTATGTCTACACAGCAAAGAAAAACCTCTGTCTGGCCTGTGCTAGCTGACTCAGGCATGCAGGGCTCAGGCTGCAGGGCTCTTTCATTGCTGTGTAGATTTCCAGGCTTGGGCTGGAGCCCAAGCTTTAGGACCCTTTGTGATGGGAGGGTCCTAGAACTTGACTTCCAGACTTGGGCTGGAAACCTACACAGCAATAAAAGAGCCCTGTGAGCCTGAATTGGCTGGCCTGTGCCAGCCATGGGTTTCTTTGCTGTGTAGACCTACCATGAGCTGTCACCACTTCCATAAAGCTCTAGAGTGGGACTTTCAGAAGTGCTTAAGTGTAGTCCTAATCCTGCTCCCATTCAAGTAATGGTAAACCCACAGAGTTCAATGGGGAGAGACTAACTCAGCACTGAGTTCTTTCAAAAACCACACCCTTCATGTTTAAGATTAAAAATGGCACCTGCCTCCTACCACTTCTCATTGCTTTGTCATGGATTTGGTGTAGAGTTCAGATTCCATTAGATCAGGTTTATGGTGGGACCTTCCATGTACCTTCGAGAGCAAACTTTATTGCTGGTCAGTGTTCCATTCTGATCATACAGGTGATTTTATGAAAGAGGGTGCCACACTGGGCTGGAGAAGATAGAAACCCTAGTATAGCTGGTGGTTTGCGTCAGGCTTGTACCATGGTGTGTGTGGAGTATAATGAATGTTACTCCATTGGCTCATTCAGAGAAGTGCAATTCAAACACTCTAGCCACTCAGTGGCCTCAGTATCCTTTGTAGTTTTACAGGGCATTGTTGTTGCCTTAAAACAATTCTGTTGTATAAAATAGTGTTCTGTTCTCTAAAGTATTTCTAGATGAGTTTAAATACAGTGCTAGTGTATCTCTAGGTGCTTAAGGAGTGACATTAATGGCTTCAGAAAGTCCTGCCTAATCCTCCTTGAGCAGAATTCTATCCAAGATATGGATGCTTGTAAGGAAGGAAAGGCAACCCCAAGGTTCTTAAGATGTGGATAAAATTGGTTAGGATGAAGGAGAGAGGGACAGTAGCTTAACATTTTAAAATAAGTGTAAAGTGACTCTCCTGGAGCATCTATTGTAGGCATCCATAAATAGCTGCTCTTGAACTGCAAAGCTACTTTCAGTCTTTTATGTGCTTTGAAGAAAAAGAGGTAGGATAAGTGCTCTGCTGGCTTATAAGTACAGTTTGTGTGAGGCTTATTGCTTGCCTTTCTCTGTAACCAAAGCACAGAATCCAGAACCAATTTCTCTAGATGCTGTTGATATAAATAAGAGTAACATCTGACTACTCTTTTTTTTTATTTATTTTTTTAAAGGATCTCCTATACAGACGTACCCGGAGTCTTGCAGACTATGAAAATTCAAACAAAGCCCTGGACAAAGCTAGATTGAAAAGTAAAGATGTCAGACTGGCAGAAGCACATCAGCAAGACTGCTGTCAGAAGTTTGAGAAGCTTTCAGAGTCTGCAAAGGAAGGTGCAAACATCATTACCACGCACTAAATTCCATTGATCCTCTGCATCCTTCCAAGGCCTTTTAGAGGGAATTTCTCCATAGTAACTCCACAGAGCACTGTGGTCCACAGCTCACTCAGAAGTCCCATTTCTCCTAACTCTTCTCTCTAGTCTAGCAGGCTTTGAGTAAGATAGTCAAGTGAACTAGTTTTACATCACATGGACAAGTCTCAGCATCCCGAAATATTCCTTTTTAATAATTGGTGACCTCAATTAAATGTTCAGTCATCTGGTGTTCTTCAAACTCAGCAGATCATTGTAATACTGAAGAAAGAACGGGCCTATTCTTATGCTGCTTTTATGGTCCTGTTTTCCTTTTGGGTTGAAGCTTTTTGTTCTTGCTATCTCCCTCCCCCAAGGGTAACTTTGGAACTAAATCCCTTCAGCTATGCGAAGTCAAGATGCCCGAATGGGTGTAGATCAGTGGTCCATTTAGAGCATTATTTGAGTCATAGCCGTCTGGTGTGAGAGGTATCTAATGGAAAACAAGGTGAAACTTTTCTGATCAGAGTCCAAGCACGCTAGTAAAACATGCAAGAGGAAAGTGGTCTTAGTCCCAACAATCCCTGCTCCCAAGGCTGTTCTTCTGGCTAGGAGGGGCATTCTAGGGCAGAGCTTACAGGTCAGCTATACCCTCACGGGACCATCTGTATACCTTTTGCACAAGGGCAGGAGTGATCTGGAAATGCATATGCTGTTGGCCAGAATGTAAATGTACATGACTGCAGCTTCTCTTGTGGCCAAATAATACAGTCAAAGAACTGCACATGCCACCTCAGGAGTACAGGACTGAAATGTCACATCTGGAGTGACTCTTCTGAAGAGTCTGACAGAAAAAAGCCTTGACTTTCATAAAAATCAGTTAAGGATCTCTAAGCACTTTGCAAAGTACTAACTTTGCATAAAAGTTCCTGTAGTACTGCAGCATGAATGACTAAAACTCTGGCTACTCTAACCTACTGCACATTGCATTTAACCACTGCTATTTAGGAGTATGTACATAAGTCTAGAGTAGTGTGCTTTTCTTAAAGCAGAAACCAGTTGACTCCCCTTTCTGCTGGACTATCTAGAGTATCTAGTCAATGTCTCTCTAACTTAGTCCTTTCATTTATTTCCCCAATCTTTTGTGTATGCTAGGGATTCTGCAAAGATGTTAGGTTCCTACTCCAGACAGCTTAATCTAGGGCTAAGCACGCAAGGGATGAGGGAAGGGATGCAAATACGTAAGCAGATGAGGTGAACAAAGCGCTGTCTAGTGGGTGCTGTTTGGGGGGGCCCCATGCTTCGTGGTGGGTTCTCTTGTGCTTTTAGAATGTCTGGCAGTCCAGCAATGGGTAGTCCCTCTTGCCTGACCTACCTCCATGCAGAGAGGAGGTGTGACCCATTGTCTGCCAGCCATTCCAAGTACCTTCTTAGATCAGGTAAGCGGCACTTTCCCTCTGCTGATTCCTTACATGTGGAGTCAGCCCCACGTTAAGCAGGGTTTAAATGGGGGTAGTTCCCTTTTTCCTGTGGTACAATCCTAGAGTCAGTCTCCCTGGCCTGTTGTACAGGTGCCACTCTATTGCTTTTATACTCTCCTTCTAGGAGGAAACGAGGCTGTAGGGCTATTCCTTGGGTCTACTCTCCAGAACTTCAATTCCCTGGGCACACTATCCTTCAGAGGAGGAGCTAGGCAGGGGTATCAAACTTGTTCTGAGTGCTGAATGCTGCTTGTAGTCTGAATCACACTAGGATGGCTTGACTTGCAACCATAAGAAAGTAAACTTGGCCAATAAAAACCCTGAGTTTGGCAGACTGATACCGTGTGCAGTGAGGGTGGGGAGTACAGGGCAGGTCCTTATGTTCCCTGCTTCTCCAGAATTTAATGTACATATAGTTCATATATTCCCACCCTCATGTGTTTGTAGAACTGATCAGCTTCAAGCGGAAGAGAATAGCAGCCTTTCGTAAAAATCTAATTGAAATGGCTGAGCTGGAAATCAAGCATGCAAAGGTAAGCGCGCTCTTTCCCTAATGTAGAAAGTGCATGGCTGCAATGCCATGTCTGGGACCACGTAAACTGCCAAACCTTTTCCCTGATGAAATTTCTTTTTATTCTGGTTGCACATTAGAGGATTGTTCTTTCCTTTGAAAAGCTAAGAAATTACATTTTTAAACCTTTTGAAAAATTCAGTTTGAGTCAAGTCCTAAAACTAGGAAAAGCCAGATTGGTTTGGCCCCTGTGTGTATGATAGTCTTTAATTACATGATTGAAAAAATTAGTATGCAACAGGCCTCTGCCTTATTCTGTGTGCAGGATGGAGGATGCTCAGGTATTGAATACCCAGTGCGGATAATGAGGCTGCTTGAAGGACCCCTGCCTCATTTGCTGGAGTAATTGAAAGGTGTAGAGAATGCTACAGGAAGAAGATAGGACCCAGTTCTCCTGGGTCTCTTCCACAGACTCTGTGCTGCTGCACAATCACTTAAATTCAGAGGTGGCCACTGTGTTCCTTGTCTTCTGAGAGCCCAACTTGAGACACCTCAGCACTCAGACCTCCAAATAGTCCATGGGAGCTGCAAATGCTCAGTACCTCTGAATAATCAGACTGCGGGTATCTCATGTAGGGCATTAATCATTCAGGCAACCACAGTTAGTGGACACTTGCAAATCCTGGCCTTGAATCTCCCTGCCCCTCCATTCCCCAGCTGTAAAATGGGGATGGTACCTCCTCTCACAAGTTGCACAGAAGATCTTGGAAATACTTGTTTTATAGTGAGCACTGAATGAGATGGGCCCTGTGGGTGGAGGATAGTATGTGATCTCATAATTAAGGACTATATATGCACACTTCAAGGGGCAGAATTAACATTGCACAAGCAACCTTACTTTTGGTACTTCCTAACTTGATTGCTTGTCTGTGCAACTTTAGCATCCTTCTAGTGGTCTTTGTAGTGATGATACTAAATGTAGCTTTCAGACAGAGTACAGAAAATTCAGCTTTTCCATTTCTGAGAACATCAAAACTGTTAAGTTCACTTGTTTCTGGAGTGAGAATTGATTTGGTGCCTGTTTTTGATCCCATGCTTCTCACTCAGAATTAACTGTCTTCCCTTCCAGAACAGTGTGTCTCTCCTGCAAAGCTGCATTGACTTGTTCAAGAACAACTAAAGCGCCTTAATGTGAAAACAGCATCAGTTGCACTCAACAGCCATGGGAAAATTTATATTTAGCTTGACTTCATTAGGTTAAAATATATAAATACACTGTTTCAAACATTTTGTTTGACTAATACTTAACCATGTTGATGCCAATGTATTGGCTTCCAGGGTAGAAATGAAATCTGAATTGCATATGAATTACTTGGATGTAGCTAATTTCTTGTTGAGAGTTAATATCTCAAGGTAAGCAAAAAGTACAAGTACTAGATTCCAGAATGTTGACCAGTTTTCTAATGATAAAAAGGGGCAATTCTTTCCAAGAGTGACACGTGAATGAAATCAAGGTGGTATTGCAATCTGTCTCTAGCCTAAACCATGTCAAAGAAGTTCATATTTGGGAGGGTCTTATGTACATTCTTAAACAATTTTATAAGGTAAAATACATTCCACTTCATAGATTTCTACTACAGTGTATTTTGGATTTCTATAACTACATTCAGTATTTGTACACTCAGCAAAAATAAAGATGTCTAATACTGTGAAGTGTGTTTCTATAAACTAAATGGCCTTGTATAATAGACCATTTGTATATGGGATTTAAATCCCCAAGTAGTTTAGGGGAAAATTGTTTTCATATCATGAAAAGCTGTTATACACTGAATATCATTCTAACCTGAGATTGTTGCAATTAGAAGGCAACAACAAGACTGAAATTGGTACAGCTGCTTATGGTCTGATTACCTTCTTACAAACTAAGATTTTTAAAAAATGTTGCACAATGCAATCCAATAGGAAACCTGAAGGGTTTTTTTGAGACTCTTGAACTCAAATGGCTGGTAGACTTGATCTCCTGCCTTGAAGATCTGCTTTCTTGCTGTACTTTGCATCCTGGCACTTTCCTTTCCTCTAACAGGTAGCTGAGCTTAGGTTGGCTGTCATAAAGAAATACAACATCTTGGTAGGTTTCAGAGTAGCAGCCATGTTAGTCTGTATCCGCAAAAAGAAAAGGAGTACTTGTGGCACTGTAGAGACTAACAAATTTATTTGAGCATAAGCTTTTGTGAGCTATGCTTATGCTCAAATTTGTTTAGCCTCTAAGGTGCCACAAGTATTCCTTAACATCTTGGTATGCTCAGGGTGGCAGGTGGACTGGGTATTGTTAATGCAAGCATAGGCAAACTGATCTCTCGTGGGACAGCCTTCTGTAAACAGCTGAATTTCATTATTTCACCGTATACTTTGTGCTTGTGTAGTGCTTTTCATCAGAGTGCTCAAAGTGCTCTTTACAAAAGAGCAATATCACTGTCCCCATTTTACAGATGGGGAAACTAAGGCATGGAGCTATGATACGCCTTCCCATCTCTGCCACTTGCCTGTTGGAGGACAGTGGGCAAGAGAACCCAGGTCTCAAGAGTTCCAATCCAGTAGCTTTAAATTAATCAGTCACCACATGACCTAAGCAGGATCATTTTAGCTGGGCAGTAAAAGTGTGGCCCTGTCTAAAAAGCAGTTTGGTAACCATATAACTAGCCACACTCCTCCTCCCCCTGCTCAGTTGCTACATCCTGTTCGTGTCCCTGCCTCTGTCCAGCATTAGTCCTTTCACCTTTCCAAGATGGGTGGAATCTAACCCAACAGGCAGTCCAATGGATCTGCTCTGTTGCTTGTCCTATAGCAGGACTGTGGCCTTGTTCCAGGTGCTGCCTTAAGACAGGGTTCTGCCCTGAAGAGTTTGCAGCCTGACAGGATGGGTTAAGTAGGTGTAGCACCGCTGGGAGGGGGGTATAGGAAAGGATAAGCCAAGTCCTAAAATGGGCAAAGTATACATCTGTGTACACCTTCTTTTTAAAGAAGGAAAATAGACTTGCCTGGTTGGTGCTGGCTTATGAATGTAGAGGCTGAGTAGTCTCTCAAAGCCTGCTTTACACTACTTATAAACTCAGGGTTTCATTACACACCTGTCATCAGTAAAACACGAAGGCGTATCCACTACACCTCCTGTAGCCACAGTTCATCTAGCTGCAGATGTTTTGCCACCTGTTTAATTGGCTAGTGTCTGGCTCTGGTAAGAGCTGAAGTTGCTTGCTTCTGACCTTGTCCAAGAGGTTTCCTGGGAAGAGGGCCAATAGCACTACCCCCAGTCTATCTCTGCTTTTCAGTAGTGGTTTGGTCTAAACCTTTCTCCAGCCCTCTCCTGCGTGGGTTCCTGCTGTGGATTTAAGAAAACACTACACTGGCCTCTTTGCTTACCCAGGAAAGAGGTGGGATAATCTTTAGCAAGAACTAATACTTAAAACTGTAGGTCTAAGTGAATCAGTGGTGTCAGTAATTGTCTAGATCTGGTAGGTTTTATCCAGTTGGTTCATGTCAAAATAGTAAACACCATTGCAGTAGCATTGCTCATCACCATGGTGATGAGCATTTCTCTCAGGCTCTGGCGTGAGTACAATTTGGTTACAGGATCCTGTCTGTTTCTTCTGCCCAGATCACTGATCAGCCTAAACCATATAGGGTCTCTGTCCTCAGCTTCTTCCTATGGTAAAAGCTACAGCTGTCCAATGCTCTTTCCCATCCGTTAGATTTGGGATGGGGTTTCCTGTCTCAAGTTTGGGTATATTTCATGCTCCATTGTGACTTAGGCCTATGTCTACAGTAGCATTTACGTAGGCAAAACTCTTGTCGCTCAGGGGTGTGAAAGAAACACCCCCCCCCCACCCCCAGGGCAAAATAAATTTTTCCGGCATAAGTGCTCCTGTGCACAGTGCTACATTGGCAGGAGAGACTCTCCCACTGACATGACTGCTGCTGTTCGTTGAGCTGGTTTTATTGTCCGGAGAGCTCTTCCGTCAGCATAATGCAGCTATATGAGCAATCTTACAGTGGTGCAGCTGTAAGCTTGTAAGGGTACGCATGGCCTTAGACAAAGCCTAAAGGTCATGGCCTGTCTTGGCCGCACATCGTCTAAAGCAGGGACCCCTTGCTTTGAAGATTTATATGGTTTGCAACAGCTTTCCAAGCTCCCAGCCCACAAGTAGTTCATCTGGGCCACCTCTTGCAACAGGGGGGCATGACTGTCAGAATTGACAATGGGGCTTTGGGTGGCAGAATTTGTAGCAGTCTATACTGCTTTCTCCCTTGTGCTAGTGGCTATCAGTGATCTGTTTGAAAACCCATGTGTCCCACCAGCTGACAGCCTAGAGCCAGTGAAATACGAGCCTGACAAAGGTGCCTTGAAACACTTCTGTCACCAGCTGAATTGTGGGGCCAGTGGAAAAACAGAATTACCAGGAAAAGTGGCTATTGGCTGGCCATGTTGTCTTTCTGTAACCACCTTATTTTCTGAAATAATATCCCTCCCTTCTCAAAACCTGCAAGCAATAGTTCCTGGACTTGAGTGGGGCCCTTCCTGGTCTGAATGGGTGCTGGGCTGCCAGATGACTTGCCTACTGCCCCACAGTCCTCAAGGGAAGTGGTCTGTTGCAGATCAGGCTGTGGGTCTACCCTGAGCTACCTCTGTCCACCTTCAGAGGTCTGGTGGCCAGCAGTTTGGCTGGAAGAAGTGAGTACAGTATATTCAGTGACTCTTCAGAGAGTAATAGCAGCCAGCAGAGGATGCTATTGTATTTTTTTTTTTTTTTTTTTCCTGAGAGCAGCCGCATCTTGAGAGGTGCGTGTGCGGTAGCCGGCAGATGCTCTGTGCTCCCAGAACCTCACTCCATATACTGTATGTACCTATAGGGAGGGAGCTGACCGGCTTTCAAGCCAGTGAAGGACACTAGTTCTCCAGCAAATACCCATTGGATGCTCCTGGCTGAGCCTGGTGGCTACTGACCTGATGGCCATAGTGACGCTACGGAGGGGCAGCTGCTCCACCATAGTTAAGATTGTAACTGAGTGTCCACTATAAACCTGACTTCTGTCTACTCCTAAAGTTAAAATAATCATATTACCATGAATTTTAGTGGGTTGGTTCTGTAACCCTGGGAGACTGTCACCCTGACAACTACTGTGATTCATGTTAAGGCTTTATTATCTGGGCCACTTGAAATATATGGTGGGTGAATGCAGTTCCTTAATTCTGTTCTTTTCCTTGTCACTTTCCAACATACAATTGATTCCCCTAGCGGAGATCTAGTGTCTTAACATTTTGGGAAAGGACCTTGCCTAAGCAGCGTTGTTGTCTCTTGCAATATTTGGTGTTTCGTAAAGCCCCAGCTTCTGGAATCAGGTGAGTGGGGGAGATAAATCTTATCCTTCCCCTCTTCTTCCTCTCCCCCCCACCCCATTTTTTTTTTTTTTTTTTTTTTTAATGGAAGTTTCTAGCTCTCTCCTGGTTGGGTCACATCTTCAAACTTTTGTCCAAGTGCATTGAAAAGGCTAAAAATACAGAAAGCGAATTAAACCAAAACCTAAAATATACACTTTTTTTTTTTTTTTTTTTTTAAATCTCTTGGGGAGGTTTTAAGCCAGTCTTGTCACTTTTGAACGCTGGCGGTTGGCAATACAGCATAACACAACTTTGTGAGTTTTCTTTTGGAAGCACCCTGAGGGACATCCTCTCTGGTGTATTTGCTTGATCTTTTTTCAGGGAATGCTGCATTGTTCCAAACTGGGGCAGTGTTAAAGTTAACAGCGTGTAAGTGCCTTGTGTGAGAAATGTGACCATAACTCTGCATTTCCTGGGGTTTGAATTTTCTCTCTAAAGCTAGCATTGGAAAGGTTACACATGCTTCAAACCCAGCTTACGCATGCGACTTTAATGACAGATTCCCACTTAAAACGTCATTGATCAGTCATTGCGATGCTGTAATTTAAATGGCTGATCTGCACTTACATTGTGCTGATGTAGCTGTTTCAGTTAAAGAGGTTGGGGGGGGTGTGTGTGTGTGGTGGGGGTGTTTTAATGGAAATAATACTGGTGGTAACCCTCTGGTGGGTGTGGTTCTAG